ATATAATTGCGCATAAAAATCTCGAATAATTCTCTTTTTCTCCTTATTACCATGACAGACTAGACCCTGTTCATCCATTAACTGTGGTATTCTCCTTGATTCTTTCTCTTTTCTCAGTTTGTATGCTAACCATCTACCTGGCCTGTTTGCATCCTCAAAATAGTTCTGTTTAGCACTTCTAATTTTTTGCGCCAGTTCTTCTTTCTCTGTTTGATCCATCTTATGTTTAATTATATCCATTTTAAATTTAATATCTTTTTTCTGTGGCATTCTCTGTAATTCTTTTTCCAATTTTTTATAATCATCTTCTAAAGTTTTAATCATTTGCCTCTTTCTAATATTTTTTTTCTTTGTGTATTCCATTATCAATCCTCTTGCATATGCCTTCATTGTGTCCCAAACATTCTGTATTGAAGTATCTTCTTTTCTGTTTTCATTAAAAAAGAAGGCCAGTTCCTTTTCCATCCACTGTATAAAATCTTTTTCCTTTAAAATAGTATTATTTAATGTCCATCTAGATCTTCTTTTTTGTCCTTTCCATTTAATTGTCATTGGGTTGTGATCTGCCCATGTACTTGTTTCAATATTTATTTCTTGAATATTAGATAATAATTCTGTTGACGTCCAGATCATATCTATTCTGGACCATGATGAATGTCTATTCGAGTAGAAAGTATATTGTTGAGTTTTAGTATTTCTTTCTCTCCATATATCTTTTAGATTTAATTCCTCTATCATTTCAAAAAAGGATTTAGGGAGGATCTTCCTATTTTGTCGTGTTATTTTTGCTGTGTAGTCCAATTCATTGTCTACAATTCCATTAAAATCTCCCATTATAAATATATTAGCGTAGTCCAGTTCAATTATTTTCATATGTAACTTTTTATAGAATCTTTTTTGTTTATCATTCGGAGCATAGATTGCAACCAAAAGTATCTTTGTATTGTTATCCACTATTTCAACCATTAATACTCTTCCATCTTCATCAGTATAAATCAATTTTGCTGAAATGGTTTCTTTAATATACAATACCACTCCTCTTTTCTTACACTGGGCCAAAGAAGTAAAAATTTTCCCTATTTTTGGTCGCACCAATAATTGTTGATGTTGTTTTTTAATGTGTACTTCTTGTAAACAAATTATATCAAATTTTAATTTCTCTATTTTATGAAAAATTTTCCTTCTTTTAGTAGCTGAATTCAGTCCATTTATATTCAAAGAAATCAATTTTTTTTCCTCCATAGTTATGATTTATATTTAGGTCTAACGGCTCTCGTTGATCTTACTTCACGTTGTTCTTTAGTCTCCACTTGTCCACCTACTGCACCTTCTTCTTTTCCCATCTCTATTTGGTCCTCTTGAAATTCAGTTAAGGTAGTCTCTTCTTCTATCTCTGTTTCTCTTCTTTTAAAAAATTCCTTATAAAACGATTCTGCTTCATCAATTGAGCCAATTCTGTATCTCTGTTCTTTCCATGTAACCATTAATCCTTCTGGAATCAACCATCTGTAATTCACCTCCTTTTCCAATAATACTTTAGTCAGGAAACGATATTCTCTCCTCACCTCTCTAATTTTTCTGGGTACTTGTTTTAAAACCCCGATCTCTTTATCTCCATATTTCAATGTCTTCTCTCTTGCCGCTTGTAATATCTGCGTTCTGATAGATTTTTTAGTAAATCTAACATGAACTTCTCTTGGTAACTTATTCCTCGATGCATATCTTGTAAAAACTCGGTATATCTCATCTATTCCATCCATCATTTTTTCCTCTGTTATTTCCAAAGCTCCAGCCAAGATTTCTATCATTACTGCAGCAAGATCTTGTCCTTTTTCTTCCTCTATATTTTGAAATCTGAGGTAATATTCTGATCTATCCATCTCCCACTTCACCATCTCATTCTTGTTTTGTTCAAGCGTTGTCACTCTGTCATCAATATTTCCAATTTTCTCATCTCTTTGATTGTCTTTCTCTTCTAATTTTTGCAATTTCTCATCTCTTTGATTGTCTTTCTCTTCCATTTTTTGTAGTTTCTCATCATACTTCGCCATCATCTGTTGGATATTTTCAATTTTTTGTTCAATACTCCCCATCCTTTGTTCAATACTCATTTTAAGTTCTTGAATTCCTTGCATAACCGTCGTTAGATCCGTTTGTCCTTTATCTTGCTTCGCCATTGTTGAAAGTCGTCCTCCAATTGATGGGGAGGCAGGAGCAGAAGTTGATGCGCCAGAAGGTAGAACTTTCTTACTCATTTGAATAACTCGGAATCTTCCCACTCTTTTAATCCAGTTGGCAGTGTAACAATTATAATCCAATTAGGGAAAGGAAAAACGTAAAAAAGAAAAATCAGTAAAAAAAAACCAAAAAACCCAAAATTTAAAAAGGAAAAAAAGTTTCAAGGAAAAAAGAAAAATTGCCACCAGAAAAATTTCTTTCTTCAGGTTCTTCTAGACCTTAATCCTCAGTTGCAATAGTCAAAAGGAGAATAAAACCCAATAATATTAAAAAAAATAACAATAATAATAAAAGGAAAAGAAAAGAAAAATTCTTCAGGTTCTTCACACCTTAATCCAATTGCGAAATCTCAAGAAAAAAAAAAAACATGGCCACAAAAAAAGAGTATATACATACAAAGATAAAAAAAACAAAAGTCCCCCCCAAAAAAGAAAAAAAAAGGAAAAAAGAAACAATATTCTGAGGCTTTCCCTTTAGAGAAAAAAAAATGAAAAATAATAATAATAGTAATAAGCAAAAGTGTACAAATATTACAAAAAACTATAGGGTTAAGGAGGAGGGATAAAAGCTAACAACAAGTAAAGCAAAAATCACACTGCATTTTATTTAAACATCCAAGGCTCTTATTATGGCTTCTCCACAAGTTTCAAAGCCAAGCTTCAAACATTCAGTTGATTGTAGAAATCCCAAAGAGACACCTGTGAAAACATTCTCCAGAGTTCCTCTCTCTATCTTATCAACTCAGTGTCCTTGGGAGAGAGTTTCTCACAGTTCTCTCAACTTCAAGTAAAGTATTTTCAAGCCTCTAGTTGGCAGTGTTGCAGAGTTACAAAGTTTCTCAACTCCACTCCCCCTTCTTCCTCCCCAAAAAAAAACCAATAGAAAAAGAAAATATGTATATATATATGTGTATATTTAAAAAAAAGAAAAAATTACTAAAGGAAGCCTCTATTAAAAATATAAACAGTCAAAAAGGAAAGGTAATTATAGAAAAAAACAAAACAAAACCAGTCTGGTTACAATTACTAATCACAATAGAAGTTCGCTAGAAAAAAAAAAAAAGTAAAAAGCCAAGCCTCATTTTGACATCTTCTAAAAAATCGCCACTAAGTCCATCTTATCAAATTCTGTCAAAAATCTTACAGATTCCTTCTTCTTCTAGGGTGTCCTTATCCCAAATAAAAAAAAATAAACCTCACCAGCCGATACACTTTCTCTTTCTTTCTTCTCTTCCTTTCGGAGCTGTCCCTGCTTCAGCAGCTTAATGGCTGCCTCTCCGCCGATGGTAAAGGGACTTCTTCTGGATCCACCAGGGACTTGCGGTGTCCCTGTGATCGACAGAACGCGCCCCTTACTATCACCGTCTCTACGGGACGGTTTAGGTCCGTTGGGACCGACCAGGGGCGAAGATATCAGCTGTAACTTCGGAGCCCCGAAATTACAGCTGTAACGCGGCGACGTGGCTCCGCCTTCTCCCAGTATTTTACTTTGTCTTTCTGAAGGTCTACTTTCAGTCTCATTTCTTTCACATTTTTTCCTTTTCTTTTACGTCCATTTTTCCCCTAAAACATGATTCTGATTCTATTAAATAATGGCATGTCCTTCACTCGGAAGCTCTTATCACTCTTGTATTCATTATCAATTCTCTTAGTCTTTTAGCATAAACAAATCAGTCATGATTTTAGATTTATTCCTTTTCATGTGTATATAATAGTGAGCTTCATATTTAAATTATATATTTGAAACAAATAACAAACAGATCAACCAAACAATACTTTTCTTTTGTTGGAACCTTTCCATCACTTTGCCTGTATCCTTTTACTTTATTCTGACTTGTCTATTCATGATGTATAACAGAATAACCTTTTCCTCTGAATCCCAGTCTTTCAGAATGCTGCACAATTTTCACCAAATTCATCTGTGGTGGTTTGTGCATTGGCTTCTGACAGGCTTCCAGGTATAACTTAAAATACTAGCTTGTTTTGATGCACACTTTGATGCAGTTTAACTCTCTGGTATCTCTAAGGCGATCTCCTTCCAGTAGGCCCATTGATTCTGTAAGCTTATATCGGGAAGATATGCTTATGTCCCTTCCATTACAAAGATGGACAGCAGCATTTCTCCAGCGAATTCCTTTCTTCTAGAATATAGGGGGTGAGGGAAGAGAGAGAAAGGGAGGGAAAGAGGAAGGGAGGGGGAGAGAAGGGGGATTAGAGATATGATGCTTTCTTTTAGAATAGCTGTCAAAACAGTATTGTTTCACAGAACATCTGGGACGATTGCTACCATTAATAGAAGGCATTGGAAAAAAAGGTGGTGTTATAATATTTTCATAATCTGTTATATTATAGATTATAAAAATACAATAGCAAAATATCTCACCTGATCAAGGCGGCAAATGTACCTAGTACTCCATCCTATTTTCTCCACAACAATAATGCTTGTGAGGTAGGTTGGGCTGACAGAAAGTGATTTGGCCAAAGTCATCTAGTTGGCTTTCATGCCAAAGGCAGGCTTACAGTTTGCAGATTCCTGATTTCTAGGCCAGCAACTTTACCACTAAATCAAACTGGCTCTCAACTGAATTAGTATTTGACTGTTCCTAATTGTTTACGTTTCATATTTTATTGGGTTTTTTATTCCATTCTATCTAAACCATCAGGAGTCTCATAGGTCTGTAAACAAATGTAAATATATACAAATTATATACAAAATTATATCATTCAGCTATCGCCAACCTATGAATTCTTATTTTCATACAGATCCATTACATTCATTTGTTTATACCACAGAGCATAAATATACAACACTGAAAGAACTATTAAAAGTAATTTGGTTTTGTTTTAATAACAAACAATATCACAAAATACACTCATAATTACACAACATAAAAACTACACATCACATAGTGATTAAAATAAATATAAAATAATACATCCATCTACACCTACGGAAAGAGAATCAATTTATCAATATATAAGTAATTTAGTTCTTCAACTTGTCATTAAATCCAGACCACATGAACATAATTAAAAATTGTTTGTGATGTGGCTAAGCATGGAATAATTGTTTCTGTTGTTCCAGGAAAAAAAAACACCATATAACATACCTAAATCTTTGGGGAAATTAAAGTAATTCTTCAGATCCTGACCTACCATGGTTACTGAGGTATATGTATAATTAAATTTTAAACCAATTGTGCAAAAGAGCAATGTGACTGGATTGGGAATCAATAGCCAGTTTCCTCCCATGGCTTATCATTTCAAACATTTTTTAAAAAGAAATAATGCTTTTAAAAGAACAATTATACGATGTCTGGTTTGGGATTTTCCCTATCAATGATTGCATAGCACACCCAAAGATGGTGTGATTGTGCGAAGGTAACTTAGTTTTAATTCTAGGTCAGGAGGCTTGTCCCCTTTTAAATCATATATATTCTGATCATAGAATTAAACAAATACTAACCTTCCCTTTTTTATTTACTTTTTCTTTTGCAGTCAGTTCTTTTTAGCAAGCACAAGCATCCATTTTGAAAAATACTTGGATATATAAATATAAGCATCAGAAAATTACAAATTAAAGGCTTTCAGAGAAGTATGAAAAATAATCATAGCTATACTATTTGGTATAGTTTAAGTCTTTGTACAGAAATACCATGTTTCCCTGAAAATAAGACATGGTCTTTTTTTCTTTTTCTTTTTGGCTACCAAAAAAGGTACCAGGTCTTATTTTTGGTGGTGGTCTTTTACTGACCTCGCAGAGACACCAACAGCCCCACCCAGCAGGAGCTTGCTCCCGGTCCACTTCTTCTGCAGCCCTTGGTGCTGCTCGTGTGTGTTGCCCCTGGCCTCGGTTTTGCTGTCAGAGGCCATCAGGAATGTCCTCTGCAGCTGAAAAACGAACTCCAGACTGACACGTGCAGTGCCCTGGCCTCGTTTCACCTTCAGGACATTAATGGCTGTGTGTTGTGTTATTTTGAGAGGACAGCATATTTACACTATTATACAAGCTGTATACTCACTACTTTACATTGTAGCCAAGTGTCATTTCTTCAGTGTTGTCACATGAAAAGATATACTTAAATATTTACAAAATGTGAGGGGGATGTACTCACTTCTGTGATATACTGTATGTATCAGAGGTCTACATAGTTTTGAGGCTTCTATGGATTTTTATTTTCATTTAAAAATAATAATTTCCAATGTGGCATTTAGCTTTTTTACAACAACTGCACACAGAGTTGACATTTTCATTGAACTATCAAATATACAGTATTTCCTGGTCAGTCGCCACCATTACAGATCCCATCAACATAATTTGTACTTGTTAACCTTGAACATTTGGCATTTTAATGCTCATTCTCCCAGTTTAGAAAAAAGCATTTTGCTTCTGCATGATTGACTGATTGCTATTAATTTCCTTTTTGTAGTTGTTCATCTTGCAGTTGTGACTCTGGGTGGCAAACATATGATTAAAAAAGACAATGGAAGAAAAAACAGACAATTAATACATAGCATAATAACAGTGAAATAATGTCAAATAATAAACACAACTCACATTCATGCAGAATCACAATGACAAGGCTCACCCTACCTCCAGACTCCTATGCCCATGGGAATTACAAGATTTAAATGTTAATTAGATCAATTAAAATATAATAAATGCTTGGAAACATTAATTCCCAATTTTTGTTATTTTTAACCAGCTACTTCTCCTTTGATGGAATATCTTAGAGCAGCTATTCTAAAAGTTCTGCTAAATTGATAATAGAATCATTTAAATAAATAAAAAAACATATCTTCAGAACAGGAAATCAATTATTCCTACTGATTTGTGAAGTCTAACATTTCAGACTTAGCCTAATGTAAAATTCAGGGCCAGCCAGGGGTGGGATTTGCCAGTTCACTGAATCGGCCATAAAACTGCCATAAAATTAGCTACCGGTTCATCCAAACTGGGGTGAACCGGTAGCAGCCCACCACTGGCTTGGGTGGTTGTGGCCATTGTTGGTGTGGCCAGCATGATGTCACCATGTCAGGAGGCACCTATGGTGGCCCAAGTGCTCTGCCAATGAAAACGGGCTCCTGAGCAGTCAAAAGTGTACAAGGCATATAGCAGGGGGCTCGAGACACAACCCTGGGGGGAACCAGTACTGAGTGTAATAGTGGAAGAAAGGTGGGGGTCAAGTCTGACAGACTGTGGTCTGTTTGTCAAAAAGTTCTTAATCCAGAAGCACGTGGGGGTGGGGACCTGCAGATTATACAGTTTGGTTACTAGTATATCTGGGATGATAGTGTTAAACGCAGAGCTGTAGTCCACAAAGAGCATCCTCACATAGCTCTGTTTGTTCTCCAGATGACTCAGCGCTCTATGAAGTGTGATGGCCACAGCATCCTCTATAGATCGGTTTGCTCTATAAGCAAACTGATGTTGATCAAAGGAGGGCGGGAGGCAGTCTCTGATGTGCTGTGAAACTAGTCACTCAAAAACCTTCATAATGGGCTTCCGGTTTGTCGGCTTCGCGAGCGGCAGGGATTTGCGAAGCTGCGTGATCCCTGCCGCGCTAGCCGTTTTTGGGGCTCCGATCCGGACGGGTACGGAGCTAGGCTGCCCTGCAGGGGCAGCTGAAGGTAGGAGGGATCCGGAGAGGGGTTTGGGGGTGTTGCAGACCCCCTCCCCGGCCGGCAGAACCCCCTTTTCCCAGGACGGTGCAGCGGCGGTCCGTAATGGCCGCCACAAAGAAGCTGGCAGCCGGGTAAGAATGCGCAGGAGGAAGTGGAGAAAGTGCTTGAAAGGAGAAAGCTTTTCTTGGTTCATAGGACTCTAAGACATATTTAACAAAATTCCTGAAAAGTATGACTTTCTGAATGATACCTTCGAGAAGAGGAAAAAAGCGGCAGTTTGATGGTGCTGAAAGGATAGCTTACCCTCTTTTTCTACGGAATAAAAAGTGAATATTAAGAAACCTATTTTTTTTTAGGTGAAAACTGGCTCTAAGCGATGAGTGGGAAAAGAGAGGACTAAAAAAAAAAAATTTGTATGCTAAGACTTTGTTGGAGGAGATGCCTTAAGGATTGAAAGACTAAAATATATTGCAATAAGATTTTAAGAAATAGATTTGGACTTTCTTTTTTTCTGATTGATACTACCCTAGGAGGAGAGAGTGGGAACTCTGTCTTGGTTTGGACTGATTGATAATTTTGGGATTGTTTTATTTTTCCTTTGGAATATTTTGGTTGTTGTAAGAGAAAAGAAAAGAAAAGATTTATAATGGCTCCTTCTATTGAGGAACTGAGAAGGGACTATGAGCAAGCAAAAAAAAAAATGGTAAAGCTGGTTTGAAAGAAGCCTGCCTTTTTTTGGAAATGGCGCTCATTAACTATCAACAAACATTGCAACAGATGAAGACAGCAGAAGAAGAAGAAGGAGAGGAAGCCATCTTTAATAAATCTCAGAACTCGACCAAGAGGGAAGGAAGAGGGAAAGGAAGAGAAATAAAGGACTTAAGATTTAAAAAAAATATTTAAGAAAGGGAAAAATAAGGTGCAAAATCAATATAATGATGGTAAACAAAAGGGAAGAGGAATACGATAGAGAAGGGAAGCCAGTAAGGCAGAGGCTAGAAGAAGGGGGGGTAGAAAGGTTTGTTGGGAGAAGAAAGAAAGGGAAAAGGTGGAGAAAAGCTACAAAGTTTTGAAATTAAATGGGAAAAAAGGAATCTTTTTTAGGGATAAAGGATAAGTATAATTTCTGCAAAGAGATTTTGCAAGGTACATAAGATGATATTGTAGTATTGTATTAGAAATAGAAAACTTAAATGGCTTAAGAGTTGATAAGAGATTAAAATGTTGAAATGTTAATAATGATTGGTTTTATAATTTAATAATATGAGGGGAGATTTAGAATATTGAGCTTTAATTAAAGAGTTTAATAAGATTATGGTATTGATGTTATTATAAATTTTTTATTATAGTATTTGTTTTTAATATTTAGATTTATTGTTTAACTATGTATTTAATTATTCTGGATGTATTATTCAGTTAGAATGTACCAAGCAAAATCGGATTGGGTATTGGGTGTTATTTTAAAGATTAACTTGATTAATTTAGTGGGGAGATAGAAAGGCATCACACTCTGATTAGTGATTTCAGGAGAAATTTCTTTTTTTTTTTATAAGGAATGAGACAAAGGTACAATAAAGAATGGACAAAAGATACAAATATAATGACTCAAATTAAGATGATTAATTAAGATAGAATTAAAAAGAGTGAAATATGGGGAGAAGTTAATATAGAAGACTTAGAATGGTAAATAAAATAAGTAATGATATGTAAAATGAGCATGAATACAGTTGAAGTCCATGAAGAAAGAGATACCTGGGTCCAAGTTACTTTCCAAAAAGATCTTTTTTTATGTTTTGTGTGTTGTGTATATATGTTTTTTTTGGGGGGGAGAATTAATGAAACCTTGCAGAAATATAGAATGAGAATAATGGTAACTAAGTCAGAAAGAAATAGGTGAAATAATAATAATAAAATGGAATAAGAGTAAAGAGAAATAAAGAGAAAATGGATAAGAGGTTTTTGTATGTTTATATGGAAATGGTTTAAAACAGAATTATAGTTCATCTGACTTGTTAAATTTATAATGGAAAAAGGTTCAAATATGTAATGGATAATGATGACTTTTGTGTTTTGAAAATTAATAAAACTTGTTTTTTTTTAAAAAAAAAAAACCTTCATAATGGAGCTTGTTAACGCTATGGATCTATAGTAATTGAGAGTGTTTATGTTGTGAATCAATAAAAGTAACTTGGCCCAAATGCAA